ACCGAGGATGGTAATTATATCTGATGTTAACTTCTTGGACCAAAGCCTGAAGGGAAATAATATTGTTCAATTTTCTTCTTACCTTCTCTGCAATTAAAATGACTGCTTACATGTCACTAATAGAAATCAACTTGGTGGAACCAGTTGTGACAAAGTATCAGTATCAAACTATCATAAATACTGACATTTTATTTGTTCCATGTCCTTTCAACTCGGCCCCCAAATTACTCAAACAAGAGAACAACATTCAAATCATTGAGTAAACAAAACTCTCCCTGCTGGTATGCAATGGGTTAATCCTGGACACTGCTCTACGGACCTGATTGATTTTTTCAGTGAATGCTGAAAGATAAGTATCATTTCCACGTCTAAGCTAATTATTTAGAAGTATAGCAGGTCAGTATGATTGGCTCCAACTAGTCAGTTTCAAGATTAGATTTTACCTCCCTGAAGCACGGGATCCTCGGGCTAATAATTTGGGCTTTTGTTAAACAGAAGGATAAAAAATCAACTAAAATGCCTATTCCACTCAGAGAACACAAACATCTAAAAGCCAAACACTTCACGCAAGGTATGCCAATGTTGCAAGTAATTGTAAACATAGTTTTCAATTCCAGGTGATTATTTCCCACTGAGTCTAATATAAAACGGAACTGAAACTATGTTAGGTGTTTTGCCCACCAGATATAATTATAAGATTCATTTATTTACAGTTTTGGTCTTCTTTAACTCTTTGAGGGCTAAATGGTCTAGTTTTCTCTTCTCTGCATTTCTAGCCCACAGTAAAAATATAATATAGTACAATATAATATAATATAGTATTACAGTATATAACATAATATAATATATCATATTTATATATTTTTAATAAATGAACTTCTACCAAGGTCTTTAACATTATTAGTTATATCACTGAAGAATATACAGTTATAGATAATTATTTTACTATATCTTATATTAGGCAATATCTAATATTTTCTTATGCTAACTTTTAATCTAGCATATTTTTCAATAACGTCATAAATGCACTGCTTCTTCTTGAGGCTTATCTATCTATTTTTGTCACTCTAAGTATGAATTGAGAACTGTTTAATTCTCTTACTCTGGCTTAAAGGCTACCATCAGAAATCTAATACATTGGCCACCTCAGACTTAATGCTCCTGTGACCGTCGAGTCCCCTGTCCACAAATGTCCTCTGCTCTCCTTTTCAGTGTGTTTTTCTTTGTTTTCTATACTTAGTCTAAATGTATCACTTTGACAAAATTCTAACCACTCTTCACTACCAATCTTAAATGTTTCAACTCAAGGAAAAATTTTGTGTTTTATACCTATCAAAATGTTTCCTTCTTTCGAATCCACAGTGAACTGTGTGCTCCTCCATCACACACTTGCATCAGTGCAATGGGAAATGCAGTCTTCTCTGCCAGCCCCACCTCTGCCTGGTCAGCTGAAGGCCACATCTTCTCTTAGGGCAGAGTCCACCTCCAGAAGCTGGGTCCTATGTAGTTATCTGCATTCCCTCATACGCCTCAGTTTCCTATGCTGTATTTATCCCCTCTGCCAAACTTTTCCAGAATTTCCTAGAATTTGTAGTGCATCATCAGCACAATCTGCTAATATATTCAATTTTCTTGCTACCACTTTTACTTCTTGATTCCTTTCCTCTCTCCCTATACCTTCCTGTCAGAAAAGATGCTCCTTCAGTGCTCATACTCTACATAATTCAGGGTGAGCACAAGTTGCAGGCAACTTTTCTCTCTCATCTGATCCAAGCGGAATGTCACTCTGTCTTTTCCCCTGATTCCTCTGGGGCAAATGCTGTCAGATAGCACCACTGGGACGGTCTGGATATAGTTTGTCACTGAAAAGGCTTATGTGCTAGAAGCTTTGCTCCACTTAACAAGGGTTAGAGGCATAATGAGCAGGTCATGGTGGTTTTGCCTATTGAAGGAATTCATGGTTTTTTTCTGGGAGAAGTTTAGGTCTCCTGTGATGGGAATGGTTTTCCAAAGAATGGGTCAGAGTGAGTTAGGCTTTCCCACCTTGCTCTGCTGCATCTGGCCTCCCTTATACTACACCGTGTTATAAGGGAGTAAGAAAACTCTCAACCCAGTCTCAGTAGTTGGGGTGGCCAATCTTAGACTTGTAGCCTTCTAATTTGGGAACCAAACAAGCCTCCTTTCATTATAAAATGACCCATTCTCAGATATGTTGTTATGATATCACAAAATGGACTAAGACAATCACCCCCTAAATTCTCTTATTCCATTCATCCATAAATCTCTTGCGTGAAATGTTTTAGCATTTGTATTATTGCTTTCCTTGTTTTTTCACCACAATGTACTCAACTTGCTTGAATGGTGATGTGAAAATCTACAGAAGAATTCTAGTAAGTAGCTTTGTTCAGCAGGAGAAATAAGACTCGTCCAGCATTCTTGCTCTTTATATGACTCCCAGATTGTACAACTTTCTAACATTTCTGCTTTCCCTTCCTGATATGTAAATGTTGATATCCCAGGACTTGGTCTCCAGAATTTTCAGTGAACTTCAAATAGATCACATGACCTCTTCTTGGTCCATGACATCTTTCTATCACTTATATCAGCATCGGAAACTCTCTTGTCAAGAGCTATGCTTCCTAAACATAAAATCTCTGTAAATAAACTCTATTCACACTATCAAAATACCTTGTGGAGGGGCTGCAACTTGTTCAAAACAGAAAGCAGCTCCCAATCATCCTGGGCTTCCCTAGTCCCTTACATAAACTCTGTTAGCCTAGAATTTTGAAATTTCTTTTGACTTCCATTTTTATCATCTTCACAATGCACACTTACAGTTGAAGCTAAGATAACATTTTATTTGAATTAATTATTTCTCATGCTCTTCTTCTGTCTGATACTACTCCTGTTACCTACTCCCAATCCCAACCTGTTTAGGGTCTAGAAGGGTTTTATATTATACCATGTAGTCAAAGTCAGTCATTCGAAGTTTTTTTTTTTTT